TTCATCAGAGGATGGATGGCGATACAGATGGAGACCCACATTGGAGCACCGGACTGATCCCCCCAAGGTCCAAATGAGGAGCAGAAGGAGGAAGAACATGAAAAAGGAAACCAGGACCGCGAGAGGTGCGTTCAGCCACTGATACAAGAGGACTGATCTAATGAGAGCTCACCAAGGCCAGCTGGACTGGGACTGAACGAGTATGTGACCAAACCAGATTCTCTGAATGTAGCTGACATTGGGGCTGTCTGAGAAGCCATTGATAATGGCACTGGGACTTGTTTCATCTGCATGTACTGGCTTTTTGGGATCCTAGTCTGTTTGGATGCTCACCTTCCTAGTCCTGGAGGGAGTGGGAGAAACTTGAAATTCCCACTGGGCAGGAAACCCTGACTGCTCTTAGGGATGAAGAGGGAGGATGAGAGGGAGTGGGGGAAGTGGCAGGGTGTTGGGAGGAGGGGAGGAAATGGAAACTTTTATAAATTAATAAAGTTTGAAAAAAAAGAAAAAGATATGATTGGAGCTAGAGTCACTTGTAGTTTAGGGAAATATAATGTGGGCTTAGAAGACAAAAGCCTAGCAAGAAATATGTAAGCTCTTAACCATTGAGTCATTCCTCCAAGACTGTGGACCAAAGACATTTGAACACCTTTTGAATTGTTCTAAATTTTGGGTTCTTTAGAGGTGAACTAAACACATATGCATTATTAAATGTACAGGACACATCTGTCACTGTGTAAGACCACTCCTTAACACTTTTGTATCAACTTGATTTGGGCATCAAGACAGCAAGGGTTAGGGTTAAGATGGCTAATATTTATTGTCAATATAACATTTTAAATCACCAAAGCAAGACGATTTTGGAGTTTTATGGTATTTTAAGAAAGGTTTGACCTTGGTAGAAAGATGTACTCTTGGTACGATTTTCTGAATTTACACCAGGGAGGAAAAGGAAAAGCTGGGCAGAGCATATTTAGAAGGTCATAGTTTGTCAATCTCTTTTGAACCTGTAGGTATACTGTAATCAGCTCTTTCATTATCCTGAAGTATGCCTTCTATACCATGATGGACTGTAACTTCCATAGATGAATTAAAGTCATCCCTTTCTTTCTCATTCTGCTTTTGCTCTCAAAACCTTTATAAAAGTAATTAGTACAGGTGATATAATGGAAGTTTTTAATCAAAGTTCATTACTTTTATTATGTAATATTTGTTTATAACTATAGTGTTCTATCCAACTTCATGCAATGTGCAATTAAGTAAATGCATAATTAATTCAATTCTTGGGAAAATATGAGCATGTTCCTTATGATCTAGGTCAGTGTGATTCTTGAAGACTGAATAATGTGTTCTGTAGTAAGTACTAATAATTACAATACTAATTGTCTTCAGACATGTATTATTAATAAGGCTCTCCAGAAAGATACACCTTTGGGAACTACAAACAAGTCGCCAAAGGACTTAAATAGGTCTGTTAGAGATGATTTGCTTCATAAATTTCAAATTCCTGTTCCATGTGTCTGCATTTTCATACTAAGATATGACTATCGTTCAGCTTAGAACTTTGAGTTTTCTTACAATACTAAATGTGTAAAAATGATGTTATGATAGAAGAGTTTCTAAAGTTGGCCTCATGTTCTTTTTTTCTTTTAGTTGATCCACTGAAAACTGACCTCTAAAGGATCTGAAATAATTTCCTTCTCAAAGTGACCTGCTGGAAAATCATCCTACATATATCTGAAAAGTGACATACTTTTTAGGCACATGAAAAATCCAAAATCCAAATTGTTCTAAGGTAAAAATTTTGATTTTCCATTGGTAAAATGGCATAATATACTATTGAAAATATTATAAATATAGAAGAATTTGGGGAGACTACTTAAAAGCAATATACTTTAGCAGTGATACATTCATTTTTATTTCTTTTTTGCCTACTTTTTGTATTTCATCAGTCTGAGAATTCTAATAGCCAGAGAAGTTTCTTAAATTTTATCTTTCTACAAAACATTTATTCTGTGCCTATTGATAGCTTTTTTATAAATCTTCCATATATGAGCCATACTTATGTGAATTAGAGATCTGATTTTCATATTATCATCTTCACAGAATTTTGCACAGACACGTATATTGTGAATATTAGTAGAAGGCCCTAAAACTCAAACAAGCAACAGAAAATCTGCTTACCAAAGTTTAAATGCCCAGAGATACCTTATTTGAAAATTTTCATTGTTTATGTGAAAATATTTGCTTCATGCTTATTTTTACCTCCTCAAGTAGAGAATAACTTGCTCACATAATCTCTATATTAATCTATCATTTAGGTAATATCACACATGCCTACAGATACACATATACACACAAACAAAGAGAGAGAGAGAGAGAGAAAGAGAGAGAGAGAGAAACTGATATATAGAGAGAGGGAGAGGAGAGTGAAGGAAAGAAAATTGAGAAACTGAGTGAGGGAGGAGGATAAAGCAGGAGAGACATAAAGAAGTTTTCAGAAGAAGCAAGACTGGACAAAGACCTGAAAGGAATGGAGAAAGAAGTGACAATTTTACCATCTTTGTCCTCCTTTAGCAATAATCTTGACCACTGGTGGTTGGGTATGCAGTGTAGTTGTTCCCATTAGGGTTGAACATTCTGGAGATTCTTAATCTCTTCACCTTGACGTATTTTGGTTCTTTATATTAAACACATTCTAATGTAAATAGAAGCATCTTTGGTTATTGCTGAGAAATGCATCAATCAATGGGCATGGTCATAAGTCAATACTAGTCATTTTAATATTAAGTTCATTTAAAAGCATCCTAATGAAAGACTATCCTATAGAACATATAACCAGTCTTGCTAGAAAATCTTACTATTTGCTGAAGCTAAAATTGTCTTTGAAAAATATAGCTAACATTTTTTATAACATTACTTTTTGAAACCTGTTAGGGACCAGATTATTGAACAATGGGTGATTTTCATGATTAATTTGCTTGGCATGCCAAAGACCTTAATCATTGAATATATTATCCAATGGTATCCACCTATTCAATACTACAAAATACTTATATACAGTAGTATCATGGTCTTTACCTAGTGATTCTGAGATAAAATCATTAAGATGAAAAGCAATTAAAAATAACATTTACTGTATTGATGGTTATAGAGTTTACAAGATTGAGAATCATCAAACAAATTTCTAAGTATATTTTTATAGATGTTTGACAAAGGTGGAAAGATCCATGCATTTTTGTGAGGTAGTTCATTACATAGTTTAGGACTCCATATTGAATCAAATGGTGGAGTTAAGTAGTGTGAGAGAATTTAAATTTTTCTGCTTCTTAACCACAGAGTAACTTTACAGAATATAAGACTGTTAATTATTTAATGATAAACAATAATTTTCAAGAAAATGGGTGGACATTTTGTTGGAATGGTATGAAGTAAATTCTGTCACATTGGTATCCTGAATTTAGAAAGCCACAACAAATTAGGAATATAATATCTGCAAAAAATTGAATGGTAAACATAATTATAAAAGGCAGGAAATAAAATTAGTGAGTATAATTGTATTGGTTAGCCCTGCTTTTAGAAGTATTAACAAGAACTCCAATTTAAACAAGTTAAGAGAATAGAAACCTGAATAGTCTGGTTTAGTCTGTTTTCTGGTTGTTTATTTTTTCTTTTCTGATAAGAGTGTCTGTAGAGTTGGAAGGTTATTAGAGTTGAATCTGTTTAGAGAGAGAATCTTTGCCTAATCAAAAAGGAAGTTTGGTCAGGATGGTGAGAAATTTGTACTTGATTTACATGCTATTTATACATTAGATTTATCACTCAGAAGGGGGAAAATTTGTTTCCTATTTGTCAGTCACTTCTTCTCATGGAGTCAGTATCACGACTAGTTATCTGTCTACTAACTTCCTCTGTTTGAATAATGTTCATAACAATGAATAAAGACTTTGTCAGGATTCTCTATATTGTGGAATAGATAATTTAAAAGTTAGCAGGTAATAAAATAGGAAATCTTTATCTTTTCTTCAACCTTGAAGAATGATTATTAGTGGCTTGATGTAGATAGCATAATTATCCTTACATTTGTGCAACAATTTTTCTCAATGTCTAAAACAATCAAAAACAAGTGAAATAATAGTAGATACATCAATACTTTATCTTATCCTTAGATAGTCATTGTGCATTTGCAATAATTATTGGAGATACAGTATTTAATCTCTTTTTAGATTTTCTTTCTTTTCTCTTCTTTTTTTGAGACAGGGCTGCTCTGTGTAAAATCCCTAGCTGTCCTGTAACTAGCTCTTACAGACCAGGCTGGCCTTGAACTCACAGAGATCCACCTGCCTCTACCTCCCACTTTCTGTTACTAAAGACCTGAACCACCACTGACCAACTATATTAAAGCCTATTACTAAAAGTGTTAATTAAATATTTGACACAAAGATCAATAATGTGTCCAACTACTTGGTTATTAAATCCCATAGACTTCTAATAAAAAAAATAAACAAGGTTGAGGCAACAAGATTTAATGAAATTCTGCCATTTTATTTTTTTATCTTTTCTTAACTTTATGTTCTATATTTTAAATATTTATTAAAGTGAAACCTAAGCCATGGTATACTATAAAAATTTCTCTCTAATCTTAAAATTACAGTTGGAAAAAACTGTAATTTTATCACATTGTGTTCATGCTAATTAGTCTTCATTTTAAAAGTCTATGAGGTAAAGTCATAGAGAGAGATAAAAAGGGAACAAAAATGAGGAAATGAGAGGGGGAGAAAGATAGGATAGAGAGACATCCATAGAGAAACATAGGGAAGGGCAAGTATGTGAGAATAATGGAGAAAGAAATGAGAATTTTGTGAAAATACAGTAGTAATTTAGGTAGTTTCTTCACTCTTTATCACTGAGTTTGTCTATATATTTCAGTGTAAATGTTTAGGACTTTGTCAATTTCTATTCATTTTTTCTTATCTGACAGGCTTTTGAAAACATATATTATGCCCAATATCACTGCAGGAACTGGATTCATCCTTCTGGGGCTCTCTGATATTGAGGAACTACAGACTCTATATGGAGTGACATTTCTGTTAATATACCTGGTGACATTAGTGAGTAACTTCCTCATCATCACTCTCATTACCCTTAATCAGAAACTGCATTCACCCATGTACTTCTTCCTGAAGAACTTGTCCCTATTGGATGCCTTTCTAATATCTGTCCCAATCCCAAATTTCTTTGTCAGTAGCCTAACTCACAACAATTCCATCTCTACTCTTGGATGTGCATGTCAGTTATTTTTCATGGCCTCTTTTGGATCAGCAGAAGTATTTGTCCTGACTGCCATGTCCTATGACCGCTATGTTGCAGTTTGTAGTCCCCTGCACTATAAGATCATTATGAATAATGTCACCTGTGTGCTTCTGATGGGTGTATCTTGGATCATTGCATTACTCTTTGGATCAATGTACACAGTTGGCACATTTTCCATGCCTTTCTGTGGTTCTAATGTAATTCCACAGATATTCTGTGACGTTCCCTCATTGGTAAGGATCTCTTGCTCTGACTCATTTGTAGTCCTTTATACAAGCCTTGGGATTGGTTTAAGTCTAGGCATCACTTGTATCTTCTGTGTTGTGATCTCTTACTCTTACATTATCTCCTTTGTCCTGAAGATTTCTACTACTGAAGGGCAGTCCAAAGCATTTTCCACCTGTGTTCCCCATCTCATTGTTTTCACTGTTTTCATTGCTACTGCTTGCTTTGTTTATCTGAAGCCACCCTCAAATACAACATCACTTACAGACAGGTTGTTTTCTGTGCTGTACCCTGTGCTATCTCCAGCCATCAATCCAGTGATCTACACCCTGAGAAGCACTGAGGTTCACAGTGCTCTTAAAAAGTTACTTCAAAATTTATACTCAAGAGATTCCTTTCATTTAACACATCAAAGTGTTTAAAAGTGTCAAAATTCATCACATTTTACTAGAAAGTTTTCAGATATTTTTTGGTTGCGAGCCTAGGTTGTGCCACCACTCCCGTCCATTTTAAGGTTTTTATCTTTGGAAAGAAAATAATAAATATCTGAAATAATTTGATATTTTTATTATATTATATTTCATATAAAGAAGATGAACAAAACAATTTAAATGGTTAAGAGTGTCCATATATAGAATGAAAATTACCTCTCAAATAAGACTCTCATTTGGTTCCTATGTGCTTCTATGTAGTTTTGACTCAGTATAGCAGAGAAAGCAACAAATTATAGTGGTTTATCTGATATTTACCCCCAGCTAATAAAGCACAATCTAAAGAGCTGCAGAAAGCGTTTATAAAGAGATACCTGGGTACTCTGTACCAGTAAAGTCTATATGTGACTGTTATTTTTTTATTTATTAATATATTTATTTTTGGTTTTTCAACTCGATGTTATTCTGTAGACTTGGAGCCTGTCCTGAAACTAGCTCTTGTAGATCAGGCTGGCCTCAAACTCACAGAGATCTGCCTGCCTCTGCCTCCCAAGAGCTGGGATTAAAGGTTTGTGCCACTAACTCTCAGCTGTGACCTTTATACTAATGTCTGTAATTGAGGAAGTATTCAGCTCTTCCTCTGTCAAGACAAATGCTTTCTATTGGAGGCTGGAAATAGGTGGTGGGAACTGTTACACCTGTAGCAGCAATCACATGGCTATGACTGAATTTTTTCACTTGTGTCTCTGATGTAAATGATGGTTTCTAGTGTATATTATATATGGGGGGGTGCTATTTTATCAAAATAAGCTTTGCATCAGGAAAGAAGTTCAGTTTTCTATAAATTTTCCACAATGTTCTTCTCACTTTCAATTATGTTATGATATTCTACATTCAATTTGACACAGCATTGCTAGCTGAAATCCTGTATGGATCATGTCACTGTTTAGCTCTCTCATTATCTTGTCTCATCTTTGTTAGGTACATAAGAAGACAAAAAAATCCAATGTATTCTTCTCAGTCAGTCAGTAAATAAAGGCATCTAACATTCTTCTATCTCCTCTGATGATTTCATACTACCCCATACACACAATGCTGAACAAAATGTAACTCACTGAAACCTCTACAATTGAAAAGGATATAACTGTCTACTGACAGAACTTGAGTAGTAAGCACAAATTATGAAAAAATTAGGCCCCTTATGCCTCCTCATGATTTCAATCTCTATTTGTATATTACATTGGCTACCTCAACTTCTGTGGAAACTAAGAACTCAATTTAGAGCAAAATAAGAGACAACTAAATATGATTAAGTTGAAGATATCCATTAAATCACATTTGCTAACATACAAAAGAAATAAACTCACTTTTAAAAGCATAATTCTCACTTGCCATATGATTGACTCTATTATTTGTTCATTCCTGATATACTTTCACTTCATAAACCTTTCCTTATTCACCAATGGCTTTCAATAAATTATTAAACCTCAAAGTCCTCAATGTTAAAACCCAACACTTTAAAATCATCAAAGAAAATACTTCAAGACAAAGACTTATTTGTTTAGATTTATTTTTACATGTATTTTATTCTCTAGAATTACCTGCATGTATACTCTTATTTAATTAATTTCCACTACACTCTATCTTCCCTCCAAATAATTCCACATCCTCCCCCAAATTATCTCAAAATCTTTTCTTCTGTTTAAATATTATGATTCTTTATACACATACAACAATATCAATAACATCACACCCACTTAACTATTTTTCAAATGTGGTACAAGGGGAGATTTTTAAAGGTCTGCTCCTTTAAGAGATAAGCCCTGCCCACTCCATTCCCTGTCCACTACCAAGGCAGGCAGATCTTCTTTTTGCTTCCAGCCTGAGTGTTCTCTTTCCTATTCTCTCCCAAGGAGGTAGCTGCTGCTGTAGCTCCTCTCCTCTGCCACCTCTGTTTCTCTCTGTTTCTGTTTCTCTCTGTTTCTCTCCCTCTCTCCCTCCCTCCCTCCCTCCCTCTCTCTCTCTCTCTCTCTCTCTCTCTCTCTCTCTCTCTCTCTCTCTCTCCCTCTCTCTCTCTCTCCTCTTCCCCCTTTTCCCTTTCCCTCTTTCGATTCCCCTCCATAACCCACTAAATAAATATCCAACCTCACTCGGTATGGCATGCCTATCTGTCTCAGTCTCTCACCCACCTGCCACATGGCTCCCTGCCTGAAATCTGAAATCTCTCTCACCCACCACGACTGCGGCTCCTCATTGGACTGGCTGCCACCCCCACCCCAGGTCTCTCAGGTCTCTCATGGCCTGCTGCCCACTGCTGCCACTCAGGTACCTCCAGCATTTCTGTGGCTGTGCCCCTCGGGTAACCTGCAGCAATTCCACTCTTGGGAATATACCCAAGAGATGCCCTAACATACTACAAAAGCATTTGCTCAACTATGTTCATAGCTGCACTATTTGTAATAGCCAGAACCTGGAAACAACCTAGGTGCCCCTCAATAGAAGAATGGTTAAAAAAGGTGTGGAACATATACACATTAGAGTTTTACTCAGCGGTAAAAAACAATGACATCTTGAATTATGCATGCAAATGGATGGAAATAGAAAACGCTTTACTGAGTGAGGTAACCCAGACCCAAAAAGAGGAACACGGTATGTATTCACTCATTAGTGGATTCTAACCATAATTAAAGGTCTTTGAGCCTATTATTCGTGATCCTAGAGAAGCTAAATAAGAAGATGAACCTGATGAAGATTATTTAGCTATCCACCAGGAGGTAGGAAATAGACAAGAGTCCCAGGTAACCTCGGGTGCATGGGGGGGTGGGAGGGTTGATGAAAGGGGATAGGGTTAGAGAGAAGGGAGTAGGGGAGGAATGGGGAAAGCTCGGTGGCCTGGGATGGGGGGGGGAGGGAGGAAGGATGAATATGGGATCAGGGAAGAATATATTTCAACTAAGGGAGTCATTTTAGGGTTTACAGGAGACTTGATTATATATGGGATCCCAGGTCCAAGGAGAGATCCCCCAGATTGTTCTCTGAACAGAGGAGAGGGTGCCTGAATCGGCCGTGGCCCATAACCATACTGATGTATATTTTGCTTATCACCATAGATCCTTCATCTGTCGAAGGACAGCGATACAGTCGGAGACCCACATTGGAGCACCGGACTGAGCCCCCCGAGGTCCAAATGAGGAACAGAAGGAGGAAGAACATGAAAAACGAAATCAGTACTGCGAGGGATGCTATCACCTACTGATACAATGGAACGGATCTAATGAGAGTTTACCAAGGCCAGTTGGACTGGGACTGAACGAGGAAGTGATCTAACCAGATTCTCGGAATTTGGCCGGATTCTCTGAATGTGGCTGGCCTGAAGTCTTTCTGAAAAGCCATTGACTATGATACTGGGACCTGTTTCCTCTGCATGTACTGGATTTTGGGGATCAAGTCTGTTTGGACACTCACCTTCCTGGACCTGGAGGGAGGGGGAAGAACTTGAACTTCCCACAGGGCAGGAAACACTGACTGCCCTAAGGGACGAAGAGGGAGGAGGAGAGGGAGTGGGGGGAGTGGGAGGGTGTTGGGAAGAGGGGCAGAAATGGAAACTTTTATAATTTAATAAAATTTACTTTAAAAAAAAAGAAGAAAGAGAGGGATAAATGCTATAATCTCAAAAAATAATATATCTATTTAAAAAAGAAACATTACAGAGTTCACAAAGAAATATCAGCACCCAGTAATGTAGGATACAATTTAGAAGTATGCCTATCATTGTACATCTGAAAGGATATACTAGATACTTGTCCTAAATTAACTGAAAATTGTCTTTGGATTGACAGAGGGTTCTTTACTGATGAATATGGATGCAATTAATGACTCAGGGATTAAGAATATAAAATAAAAGGCAGAGGTACAGAATGGGTGAAAAATGAACATGCATTATTTTACTGAACTGTGTATAACTCAACATCAATTATATGCAACTATTCCATAAATGTAGGTCTCAATTTTGCTTTGGTATAGTTTTTGTCATGAAAATGCTTCTTCCAGCTGTCTGCGATGACCACACTGCCTCTGATTAGCAGTATATGCTACTAGAACTGGTTTTGGAAGAACAATAAACATTTTCCTGGCTCCGTTAAAAAAAAACAAATGTTTTATTTGGAAGATTTGATATTTCTTCCCAGTTTGATTATTACTCTTTCATATGGGACCTGCCACATCAGTGATTCATCTGCCTACATCCCTCCATGTTCAAGAATGGTTTACAGAAAGTAATAAAGATGATTCAGTGGTCTTTGTGGAAGATGTAAAAGATTGATGATAATAAATTGGAAACATCTTGGTTAAACCATCTTTTCTTCAGCTTTTAACAGAGAGCGTCCCTGGATAGAGGTAGATAAAATGCTTACCCTCAGAGTTGAGTAGCAATTTCTCTCAAAGTTTAAGACAATAAAATGCAAATTAAATTATGGGAGAAAAATTAAGTTTTTATATCTCCATTAGATTTCAGTGGGATATTTGCAGTAGTTTAAGTAATGAACTATCTAATGCGGTGTTATTATTTTTTTAAATTTCTTGAGGAAAAAATGTTAAGAAAGAGTTGACAAAAGATGATTGGTAAATTGTTCAATTTTTGTTGTCCAACCTCATAGCAATCTCATACAAATGCAAGTTTGTGTCTAGAATAATAAAAAAAGCCATTTCATGTTATTATCAGTTTTATGTATTTTATTTTTCAGCATTTTGCTTTGTATTATGCATATTGATATATAGTAATTGTGTATTATATGGGGTAATAATATCTTTTGATACCTGTATAATTATCAAATTGAGGTAATTTTGAATATATCTTTATAACCATCAGTCATGACTCTATAGTATAAATATTCAAAATCAACATTAATACCTGCTAACATAGACTCAATATTCATAAAAGAGTAACTTACCTATAATACTTAATTGGAACCAGGACTTTACAAAAACCATGAAATTTTTCTGCCAAACTACTTATGACCATAGACTTAAAATTAAAAGTATCATTTATATCGCATTATATATTATTCATAAGAGTTAAGGTCCCATATCTGAATCATAGAAAAGCATATTTGCATATATAAACCCTTACAGATTTTCCAAGGTTGGAGAGACAAAGAGAGGAAGAAGGAGGAAAATGTGGACAGTCAGAGAAGGAAATGAGGGAGAGAACAAATATGGATACACACACACATACACACACACACACACACACACACACACAATATACTATAGTGGGAGAGAGTGAGACAGGAGAAGAAGGACAAGAAAGAAGACAGAAATGAAAATATTTTTATAAATATGTCTGAACCTTCTGTAAAATTTCTTGAAATCTTTTCACTTAGCTTTTATGTACATAGTGTTATTATTTGGGACAGTGCCAATAATTTTTTCACTTTTCCTTTCCTGCTGACAGAGCCTGAAAAGAGTCTGATACGGCCAATATCACTGCAGTAACTGGATTCATCCTTGTGGGCTTCTCTGACATCCAGGAGCTACAGACTGTATGTGGAGTGTTCTTCCTAATGATGTACATGGCAGCCCTAATAAGTAACCTGATCATCATCACTCTTATCACTCTTGACCTGCAGCTACAAACTCCTATGTACTTCTTCCTGAAGAATTTGTCCCTGATGGATGTCTTCTTTGTGTCAGTGATCATCCCAAATTTAATTGTTAATAGTCTAACACACAATAATTTCATTTCCATTCTTGGTTGTGCAGTTCAGGTACTTTTATTGAGTTCCTTCACAGGAGGGGATGTATTTATCCTAACTGTCATGTCTTATGACCGCTATGTTGCCATTTGCAGTCCCCTGCACTATGACGCCATCATGAATGATAGTGTCTGTGTGCTGGTGGTGAGTATTTCTTGGGGTACTGGAGTACTCTTTGGAGCCATATATACAGTTGGAACATTTTCCATGTCTTTCTGTGGCTCCAACGTGATCCCACAGTTTTTCTGTGATGTTCCCTCATTGCTAAGCATTTCATGCTCCAAAATGGTTTTGGCCATTTATACAAGCATTGGAATAGGTGTATTTCTAGGCATGTTTTGCTTTATCTGTGTTGTGGTATCTTATTTTTACATTTTCTCCACTGTGCTTAAGATTCCTACCACTAAAGGGCTGTCCAAAGCATTTACTACTTGTATCCTACACCTTACTGTTTTCACTATGTTTATTGCTACTGCTTGCTTTATATTTCTGAAAGCTCCCTCAGAAGAACCTTCAATCACAGACAGGCTTTTTCCTGTGATCTACACTGTGTTATCTCCAGCAATAAATCTTTTGATCTAGTCTGAGGAACAATGATGTCAAGTGTGCTCTGAGGAGGTTACAGCAAAATCTTTACCCAAAGGTTTCACTTCATTTAACACTTCAAAGTGTCTGTCAGTGGTAAAGTGCCTCACAAGATATTAGCAAATTTTGTAATTTTTGACTTTAGAAATATTATTATAGATATTCATATTTTGCTGAGAGTAAATAAATATTAAGATTAAGGTTGATATTATGCAAGATCAGAAAATTAGATTTCATCACACTATATATAAACTAATGTTACCTGTTTCTTCTCTTGTTTGATAAAGCTGTTCTTATTTGAGAAATATAACTTTCTAAAACTATTGATGGAATTTTACATTAACATTCCATGTTACATTATTTTAAAACTTTCTTTCAGACTCATTTCGTACACAAACAAAGAAATGAATGGCTAATTTAAATTGGAAAAGCATGGGCAAAAAAGATAAATCTACACAAGGCCACTATGTCAATCTGTGTATTATGAAGAAAAATGGAAAATTAATCTAGTAGAACCACAGCATTCTGGAGACTTGACCCATTCTTTAAAGTGGTACCAAACACTTACAGGAAAAAAAAATGAGCCTTTCACAAGATTTTATGGGCCAAGTTTGACATTAAAATCATTGTCAAACAGATTGAGGGTACTATCAGAAAGACAGTGGAGAAGTGAAAATTTATGTGGCTCATTTTCTGCAATATTTCCTCAATACAAATATTATTTAGAGGTAAGAGATGAGAAGCTCATTTCTCTAAGTAATAAAATAACTTATACTCATTCTAGAGACTTAAAAAATACAGACAAATCCCTCTTTCATAATTATTGAAATGGTAAACTGTCGATGGGTTGAGGGGATTCTCTAACTATGCTGCGTGCCTATTTAATTCTCTATCATATATGGAACAAACTGAATGCCATGAAGGATTGCAGCAATGATGAGCTGTCATCAATTTCACTAAAAAGTGCATTTTTTGATAATGTTAGCTTTGTCTTCTTCGTGCTACTGTAAGTAACCCCAGAAATTTATTGGTCTACCATGTTGCAATTTGGTGAAATTACTTTTCTATCTTTTTTTTTTTGGTTCTGTATTTGATGTGGGGTGTTTCTTCTCAAGAGTAACAATTACCACAAAAACTTTCTATATGCCCATTAACCTTCCTGTATGCCAGAATAGCCTGATATCTAACTATGTGCAGGTAAAATTTCCAATCACTGTATAGAAAGAAGTTGTGGAATGAACTGAAATTTCAGAATAAATCAATTGCCCTTAAAATAGTTTCCTTGACAATTTTTTTCAGTGACTTCAAATGTAGAATATTTTCTTTCTGATGTGTGAATTATCTTTGTAGAGTCTATGCTATATCAGAATAATTGGATGCTTTTAATATTGAGTTTTCATTTCTCAAAAAAACAAGGCTTTGAATGTATGACCTCTTTCAATTGTATTAAAAATATTGTATAATCACTCTGACTATGGGTTAACTGACTCAAGTCATGAATTGAAACAATAGCCTTCTCCTTTACCTTATTACATCTTAGCCTTACACATACTGAGACAAATTGCTTATCTTTACCTTCCAAGTAAAAACTAAAGGGACTCTGCATTCTGCGCTATACTCTGACATATTCAAAACCACTGTCAATAACACACATAATGAATGAAGTGCAGTTCCGTAAATCTTCAGTGTGACAGTTGATGAAAAACTCATGTTTTTCATCATAGTAAGGAAATGACCTTACTGTGCTTGATGGCACTCAAACCACTAAGGAATTTGTACATGGATTTGTTGTATTGACCCCAATGCAATCTCAAGTCCTAGTTTAAAATAAAATAGGAGATAAAGAAACCACATCACACTAACAATACCCATTGATACTGGTAACCACAAGCAAATCATCTTGCATTACCTAGCAAGGTTTTCACAAAATCACCCTCTTTTCTATAAGGTGTTTCAAGTGTTTTCCCTTTGAACTAAAACTTTTGCTTGTTAGTCTTTTGTGTCTGCACACACACACACACACACACACACACACACACACAAATAAAACCAAACAAAACCAAAATAAAAAACGAAAATAAGATAGGAATAATTATCCTTGGATAACAAACTGCTAGAGGTATCACCACAGACAACATCAAAGTGTATTACAAATGTATAGTTTAATAAAAGAATTGGCATAAAATCACTTGACAAACAAACTATTATTTATGGATTTTATTGAGCTCTACATTTTTTATCTGCTCTCCTCCGTCTCTCCCCTCCCCTTCAACTCTCTCCCCTAGTCCGCATGCTCCCAATTTACTCAGAAAATCTTGTCTTTTTCTACTTCCCATGTATATTATATATACGTATGTCTCTCTTAGAGTACTCATTGTTGTCTAGGTTCTCTTGGATTGTGATTTTTAGGCTGGTTTTCATTGCTTTATGTTTACAAACTACTTATGAGTGAGTACATATGATAATTGTCTTTCTTTTTTGTTTATTTTTAACATTTTATTACATTTATTTATTTACTCATTAGTCTTTGAAAATCTTATACATGTATACAATATATCTTGATCATATCTCCCACTTCTTCCCTTCTTTTTTTAAATTAATTTATTTATTTGTTTATAAAAATTTCCACTTCCTCCCCTCCTCCCCATACCCTCCCATTCCCCCCACTCCCTCTCCTCCTCCCCCACACTACCTCTCCTCCTCTCTCTCCAATTCTAAGAGCAGTAAGGGTTTCATGACCAGTGGGAAGTTCAAGTTCCTCCCCTCTCCGTCCAGGTCTAGGAAGGTGAACATCCAAACAGACTAAGATACCAGAAAGCCAGTACATGCAGACAAAACAAGACCCAGTGTCATTATCAATGACTTCTCAGTCAGCCCCCATGTCAGCCACATTCAGAGAACCTGGTTTGATCACGTGCTTGTTCAGTCCCAGTCCAGCTGGCCTTGGTGAGCTCTCATTCGATCAGTCCCTTTGTATCAGAGGGTGAACACACCCCTCGCGGTCCTGATTTCCTTTTTCATGTTCTCCCTCCTGCTCCTCATTTGGACCTTGGGGGCTCAGTCCAGTGCTCCAATGTGGATCTACGTCTCTATCCATCTATCGTCAGATGAAGGTTCCCTCTGGTCCTGCCTTTCCTGCTCACGTTTTCCCTCCTTCTGCTTCTCATTTGGACCTAGGGAGTTAAGTCCAGTGTTCCAATATGTGTCTCTGTCTATATCTCCATCCATCACCAGATGAAGGTTCTATGGTGATATGCAAAATATTCATCAGTATAGTTATGGGCCAAGGCCAGTTCAGGCACCCTCTTCTCTGCTGTTCAGAGTACAATCTGGGGACCTCTCCTTGGGCCTGGGAACCCCTCCAGAATCAAGTCTCTTGCAATCCCTAAAATGGCTCTCTTAGTTGAGATAGATACTTCCCTGCTCCCATATCCATCCTTCCTCCCTCCCACCCATCCCATTCCCCCAAGCCATCCCCAATCCTCCCCCTCTCCCTTCTCTCTAATCATCTCCCCTTACTTCCACCCTCCCACCCCACCCCCATGCACCCAAGTTTGCCTGGTAATCTTGTCTACTTCCAATATCGAAGAGGATAACTATATGATTTTATTCATGTTCACCTTCTTATTTAGCTTCTCTAGGATCACGAATTATAGGCTCAAAGACCTTTAACTATGGCTAGAATCCACTTATGAGTGAGTACATACCATATTACTCTTTTTGGGTCTGGGATACCTCACTCAGTAAAGCGTTTTCTATTTCCATCCATTTGCATGCAAAATTCAAGATGTCATTGTTTTTTACTGTTGAGTAAAACTCCAATGTGTATATGTTCCACACCTTCTATAAGCATTCTTCTATTGAGGGTCACCTAGGTTGTTTCCATGTTCTGGCTATTACAAATAGTGCTGCTATGAACATAGTTGAACAAATGCTTTGTAGTATGATAGGGTAACTCTTGGGTATATTCCCAAGAGTGGAATTGCTGGGTCCTGAGGGAGGTTGACTCCCAGTTTCCTGAGAAACCGCCACAGTGATTTCCACAGTGGCTGCACAATTTTGCATTCCCACCAACAATGGATGAGTGTTCCCCTCACTCCACATCCTCTCCAGCATAGGCTATGCTGTTTTTGAGTTTGGCTATTCTGACAGATGTAAGATGGTATCTCAAAGTTGTTTTGATTTGCATTTCCCTGATCGCCTAGGAGGTTGAGCATGACCTTAAGTGTCTTTTGGCCATTCGAAGTTCATCTGTTGTGAATTCTCTGTTCAGTTCAGTACCCCATTTCTTAATTGGATTAACTAGAGTTTTAGTGTCTAGTTTCTTGAGTTCTTTGCATATTTTGGAGATCAGACCTTTGTCTCATGAGGGGTCGGTGACGATCTCACAGTCAGAAGGTATGCTTTTTGTCTTACTGACAGTGTCCTTTGCTTTACAGAAGCTTCTCAATTTCAGTAGATCCCATTTATTCATTGATTCTCTTATTGTCTGTGCTACTGGGGTTCTACCTGGAAGTGGCCTCCTGTGCCTTTATCTTGTAGACTACTTCCCACTTTCTCTTCTATCAGGTTCAAAGTGGTCAGATTAATGATGATGTCTTTAATACATTTGGACCTGAGTTTTGTGCATGGTGACAGATATGGATTTAATTTCATTCTTCTACAGGTTGACATCCAGTTATGCCAGCACCATTTTTTAGAGATGCTTTCCTTCTTCCATTGTATCCCTTTAGCCCCCTTGTCGAAAATCATGTGTTCATAAGTTTGTGGGTTATTACACGGGTCTTCTATTTTATTCCATAGGTCAACTTCTCTGTTGTTATGCCAATACCAAGCTGTTTTCAATACTGTAGCTCTGTAATAGAGTTTGAAGTCAGGGATGATAATGCCTCCAGACATTCCCTTATTGTATAAGATTGTTTTGGCTATCCTGGGTTTTTTGTTTTTCCATATAAACTTGATTATTGTTCTCTCAAAGTCTGTGAAGAAGTTTGATGGGATTTTGATGGGGATTGCATTGAATCTATAGATTGCTTTTGGTAGAATTGCCATTTTTACTATGTTGATTCTCCCAATCCAAGAGCAGGGGAGGTCTTTCCATTTTCTCTTATCCTCCTCAATTTCTTTCTTCAAGGACTTAAAGTTCTTGTCAAATAGATCTTTCACTTCCTTCGTTAGAGTTACCCTAAGATATTTTATGCTATTTGTGGATATCGTGAAAGATGAAGTTTCTCTGATTTCCGTCCCTGCTTCATTATCCTTTGTGTATAGGAGGGCAACCGATTTTTTGGAGTTGATCTTGTATCCTGACACATTACTAAAGGTGTTTATCAGCTGTAGGAATTCTTTGGTAGAGTTTTTGGGGTCGCTTATGTACACTATCATATTGTCTGCAAATAACGAAAGTTTAACTTCATCCTTTCCAATTCGAATTCCCTTGATCCCCTTATGTTTTCTTATTGCTTTTGCTAGAAATTCAAGCACTATGTTGAAGAGGTATGGAGAGAGTGGACAGCCTTGTCTTGTTCCTGATTTTAGTGGAATAGCTTTGAGTTTCTCTCCATTCAATTTGATGTTAGCTGTCGGCTTGCTACATATTGTTTTGATTATATTTAGGTATGATCCTTGTATCCCCAGTCTCTCCAACACCTTTATCATAAAGGGGTGTTGAATATTGTCAAATGCTTTTTCAGCATCCAATGAAATGATCATATGATTTTTTTCTTTCAGTTTATTTATATGATGGATTACATTGATAGATTTGCGTATATTGAACCAGCCCTGCATCTCTAGGATGAAACCCACTTGATCATAATGGATAATTTTTCTAATGTGTTCTTGGATTCGGTTTGCCAGTATTTTTTGAGAATTTTTGCGTCAATGTTCATGAGTGAGATTGGCCTGTAATTCTCTTTCTTGGTTGTGTCTTTGTGTGGTTTTGGTATCAGGGTAACTGTTGCTTCATAAAAAGAGTGTGGCAATGATTTTCTGTTTCTATATTGTGAAATACATTAAGGAGTGTAGGTATTAGCTCTTCCTGGAAGTTCTGGTAGAATTCTGCATTGAAACCATCTGGTCCTGTGCTTTTTTTGGTAGGGAGATTTTCGATAACAGCTTCTAATTTTTCATGACTGACAGGTCTATTTAGATTGATCACCTTGTCTTGGTTCAACTTTGGTATATGGTACTTATCTAAAACAATGTCCATTTCTTGTACATTTTCCGATTTTGTGGCATACAGGCTTTTGTAGTAAGATCTAATGATTCTCTGAATTTCCTCTGTGTCTGTGGTTATGTCCCCCTTTTCATTTCTGATCTTATTAATTTGAGTGTTCTTGCTCTGCCATTTGATTACTTTCGCTAGGGGTTTGTCAATCTTGTTGATTTTCTCCAAGAACCAGCTTTTTGTTTCATTGATTCTTTGGATTGTTTTCTGTATTTCTATTTCGTTGATCTCAGCCCTCAGTTTGATTATTTCCAGTCTTCTACTCCTCCTGGGTGAATCAGCTTCTTTTTTTTCTAGAGCTTTCAAGTGAGCTGTTAAGTCTCCAATGTGTGCTTTCTCCATTTTCTTTAATTGGGCACTTAGTGCTATGAACTTTCCTCTTAGCACTGCTTTCATAGTGTCCCATAGGTTTGAGCATGTTGTGTCTTTATTTTCATTAAATTCAAGGAAGACTTTAATTTCTTTCTTTATTTCTTCCTTGACCCAGGGATGATTTAGTAGTTGAATGTTCAACTTCCATAAATTTGTTGGCTTCCTGGGGGTAGCATTGTTGTTGAATTCTAACTTTAATCCATGGTGGTCTGACAAGACACATGTGGTTTCTAATATTTTTTTGTATCTGTGGAAGTTTGCTTTGTTACCGAGTATTTGGTCAGTTTTCGAGAAGGTTCCATGAGCTGCAGAGAAGAAGGTATATTCTTTCCTATTTGGGTAGAACGTTCTATAGATGTCTGTTAAGTCCATTTGATTCAATACCTCCAATACTTCTCTTATTTTTCTGTTAGGTTTCTATCTGATTGACCTGTCCATTGGTGAGAGAGGAGTGTTGAAGTCTCCTACTTAAGGTCTGTGGTTTAATGACTGCCTTGAGTTCTAGAAGAGTTTCTTTTACATAAGTGGGTGGCTTTATATTAGGAGCATAGATATTCAGGACTGAGACTTCCTCCTGATGAGTTGTTCCTGTTATGAGTATAAAATGTCTGTCTCCATCTCTTCTGATCGATTTTAGTTTGAAGTCAATTTTTGTTGGAAATTGGAATGGCCACACCCTTTTGTTTCTTAGGTCCGTTTGCTTTAAAAACCATTTCCGAACCCTTTACTCTGAGTAGATGTCTGTCTTTGTGGTTGAGGTGTGTTTCTTGTAAACAGCAAAATGTTGGATCCTGTTTTCGTATCCAATCTCTTAGTCTGTGCCTTTTTATAGGTGAATTGAGTCCATTAATATTAAGTGATATTAATGACCAGTGGTTGTTGACTCCAGTTATTATTATTTTTTGTTTGTTTGTTTAATAGAGTTTGTATGTTTCCCTTCTTTGAGTTGAGCTTGTGAAGGGTCGCTAGATGTCTGAGGTCCCCCTGGTCCCAGGGGGAAGGGGGGGAAGAGAGGAAGGTTGGACAGTAGGATGGGAGTCGAGAGAGCTCAGCAGGGTGGAGCCACCACTGCAGGGTGACCAGGAAGTCAAGGGGGTCGGGGAAGGTCTGAATTCCTTCTTGCCAGGCTTGTGCCTCGGGCCAGGAACACACTCACCCCTCCTCCAATGGATGTCTGCTACTGATAATTGTCTTTCTGAGTCTGGGTTACCTCACTCAATATGATGTTTTCTAGCTCCATCATTTGCCTGCAAATTTCAAGGTGTCATTATTTTTTTCTTTGCTGTGTAGTATTCCATTGTGCCAATGTACCAATTTTCCTTATCCGTTGTTCAGTCGAGGGGCATTTAGGTTATTTACAGATTCTGAATTTACAAACAACTATACACAGTTGAGCACATATTCTTGCAGCAAGATTGAGCATTCTTTGTATATATACCCAAATGTGGTATTTCTGGGTCTTGAGGAATGTTGTATCCTAATTTTCTGAGAAATCAACACACTGACATCCAATGGGGCTGTACCAGCTTACACTCCCAACAGCAATGCAGGAGTGTTCCCTTTACTCCACAACCTCTCCAACAGAGTTGTCAACAGTGTTTTTGATCTTGGCCATTCTTACAAGTGTAAGATGGAATCTCAGAGTTGCTTTGATTTGCATTTCTCTGATGACTAATGATGTAGAGTTTTTCCTTAAGTGTCTTTTAGCCATTTTAGATTGCTCTGTTCAGAGTTCTCTGATTAGGACTGTACTCAATTTTATCATTGGATTATGTGTTCCTTTGGTGACCAATTTCTTGAGCTCTTTCTATATTTGGGACATCAGACCTCTTTCTGATGAGGAGTAGGTGAAGATTTTTTTTCCCATTCTGTAGGCTGTCATTTTGTCTTGTTGATCATTTCCTTTGCTACACAGAGGCTTTTTAGTTTCAGGAGGTCCCATTTATTAATGGATCAACAAACAACTCCTAGGATAATGTACATACCAAGTAGTAGACAGATAACAATAAACTCAAGGGCATTCTTTGAGGTTCAATGACTCACAATTTTTTTGTCAGGGAATTTTAATTGTTTGTTTTCCCTTTTTAAAACTTACTGTTTTCTAATTTTCATTTAATATATGTAAACACACACACACACATACACACGCACACACACACACATATATATACATATACATACATACATATATATATATATATATATATATATATATATATGAATTTATGACTGCCCTTTTCATGGGCTCTTTTCCATTAGTTTATTTTATACTATGCTGATGAACTAGTTTTTGTTTAATCATATCTTATTTTATTTTCTTATTTATCCTTAGAAGTCTGCTTGTTTTCTAATGAGAGCAGAAAACAGAGAACTCCAAATGGGAAGACAGGTGAGGCAGGCCTAGGAGGAGTAGAGAAAGAGTTAAGTGCAATCAGTATACATTTTTTTAAAAAACTTATTTTGTCAATAAAAGGGAAATGCTTTGTGGTGTGTGCGTTTGTCTATTAGTGTGTGAATATATATATATAGTTTGTGTGTGTGTGTGTGTATGTGTGTGTTTAGTCAGTTTTCTTAATATTGTAAGCCATGAACAATAGAAGTTTTCTTTATTTTATCCTAAGGAAAAAAGCTCTTAACATTACTTTCTTCACAGACTCTTTTATCTGTTTGTTTCTAAGACTGTAGATGATAGGATTTAAGAATGGTGGGAAAACAGCATAAAATACAGAAAGAGCAATCTCCTGAACTACTTGTGAGGTTACTGGAAGTCTTAGATACACATAGGCACCGGAACTAAGAAACATAGACACCACAATAATATGAGGGACACAGGTGGAAAAGGCCTTCCCTCGCTCTCCTTTAACAGGAACCTTCAACACGGTTGACAATATGTGAACATATGATATGACAATGAATATAAAGCAGCTACCACTGAGCCCAATGGCAGTCAGGAGAATTAAGAGTTTGTTGTTAAAGGTGTTTGAGCAAGAAAGTTTCAGTAAAGGGGGGATATCACAGAAGATCTGAGAGACAACATTGGAGTGACAGAAGGAGAGCTGGAATGTTTCGATAGTGTGTATGCTTGCAATGACAAGACAGCTAAATAGGGTGGCCAGTGTCATCTGAACACAGAATTGGTGGTTCATGATTACAGGATAGAGGAGAGGCTT